TGTTTAATATGTCAGTTTAGAAGAGAGCTAAAGGATGTTATAGAATTGTTAATTTAAGGATAATATAATTTAAGACAGAATATAATTATTGTATTGTAAACCCTGTGTGTAGCTCTGGGAAGTCGGGGGGAAGGGAGGGGGGTGGGGAAGGGTGGGGTATGAGGGAGGTGGGGAGTTATATTGTAAAAATTTTAAAAATGTTCAATTAAAAAAAACAAAAAACCTCCAGTGTTGGAGCACCCACAACTTCTGGAGGCAAGTTGTTCCACTGATTTATTGTTCTTATCTTACTGTTAGGAAATTTCTCTTTAGTTCCAGGATGCTTCTCTCCTTGATTAGTTTCCATCTGTTGCTTCTTGTCCTGCCTTCTGGTGCTTTGGGGAATAGCTTGACTCCCTCTTCTTTGGGGCAGCCCCTGAGATATTGGAAGACTATCATGTCACCCCTCGTCCTTCTCTTAGACTAGACATACCCAATTCCAGGAACCGTTCCTTATATGTTTTAGCCTCCAGTCCTCTAATCATCTTTGTTGCTCTTCTCTGCATTCTTTTTAGAGTCTCAACATCTTTTTTACATTGTGGTGACCAAAACTGGATGCGTTATTCCAAGTGTGCTCTTTCCATTTGTTTCAAATAGTATGGGGTCTCCTGCTTGAGCAGGGAGTTGGACTAGAAGACCTCCAGGATCCTTTCCACCTCTGTTATTCTGCTTAATACAATAACCTGGTTGGGTCCACGGGGTAAATCCAACTAGTATCAATCACTTCTGGAAGTAATTGTCAACGTAGAAATGGAGGGGGGGGGGAGAGTTAGATGCAAGCATGAGTTTGATATTTATAACCTTTGAGCCACGTGGCTTCGGGAATGGGTCCAAGTAGAATTGGCTGCACTTTCCATTTGTTCTTTTGACCTGTGGCCATGACGTCTGGGTCTCAGTGCTATCCTTGTTCAGCCTCAGAGTTCGTGTCAGGAATGCTTTTCTGATCGCTATTTCTGGGCAAATGCGTTTTTTTCCCCTCTCTGAAAAAGGCCATTTTTAACCAGGAGACACTTCCCTCTTGTGAATGCTGGGGACCAGATTCGTGGGTCCCCCCTAATCAGCCTCCTCCTGTTCATCCTCTTGAAAATATCGGCAACTCCACCTATTGATCGGTGCTTGAGGATATTTGGGAAACTGAAATGAGGTATGTATATATCTAAAGACATTTTTTAAAACATAGAGCATAAAATCCAAGGGCTGGGAGGGACCTTGGGAGTCTTCTAATTCAACCCCCTGCTCCAGCAGGAGCACCTATACTATCCCAGACAAATGACTGTCCAGTCTCTTCTTGAAAACTGACAGTGATGGAGCACCCGCAACTTCTGGAGACAAACCGTTCCACTGATTAATTAAACAGAATAAGGGAGTAGGAAGGGACCTTGGAGGTCTTCTAGTCCAGTCTCCTGCTCAGGCAGGAAGCCCTGTACCCAGTGGTGGGATTCAGATAGGTGAACAACCGGTTCTCTGTGTGGAAGCTGCTTCCAGAAGTCCATTCTGGGCCTGGGCAACAAAAAATTAGCGACTTGTTCTGCCAAAGTGGTGTGAACTGGCTGAATCCCACCACTGGCTATAGTCCAGCTATGCTGGCTCAGGAATTCTGGGAGTTGAAGTCCACAAATCATAAAAGAGCCAAGGTTGCCTACCCCTCACCTATACCATTTCAGACAAACGACTGTCCAGTCTCTTCTGGAAAAACTCCAGTGTTGGAGTCCTCACAACTTCTGGAGGCAAGTCATTGCACTGGTTAATTGTCCTGCCAGAAAATTTCTCCTTTGTTCTACATTGCTTCTCTCCTTGATTAGTTTCCATTCATTGCTTCTCCTGCCTTCAAGTGCTTTGGAGGATAAGTTGTCCCTCTCTTTTCTGTGACAACCCCTCAAGTACCGGAAGACTCAGCCCTACTCCTTCTCTTCGTTAGACTAGACCAGGGGTAGGCAACCTTGGCTCTTTTATGACTTGTGGACTTCAGCTCCCAGAATTCCTGAGCCAGCATGGCTCAGCTTGGAAACCTCTCCCTGTCCCCTCAGCATGGCTGGCTCAGGAATTCTGGGAGTTGAAGTCCACGAGTCATAAAAGAGCCCAGGTTGCCTACCCCTAGACTAGACATATCTAGTTTCCTCAACTGTTCATCATAGAGTTTAGTCTCTAGATCTTCTGTTCTTCTGCTGGTGGTTCCTTGTTTACGGTTCCACTTGAACGGAGTTCATTCTTATTTCTGACCTTGGGTTACAAGTGGGATAATTTTTGCAAATTGTTATGTTATTATACCGGTCTAACTCATCCTAAAATTACAGTATGTTCCACTGTTTCACGATGAAAGGATGAAAGTCACGTCCCAACATTTAATAACTCTCCCAGTGACTGCTCTCTGATGTTCCTTTGTTATATTTTCACGTGTTCGATTTACTCGGAGACCACTGTATAATTATGTAATTTATTGTCCCCTTCTGACACGAGTTTGACATCATTTTTCCAGGAACCGAGATCACAAATTCTCTGGGTTACAATTAGAGATTGATACGATCTCTTGATATTATCACATCTATAGTTAGCCTGTGAATAGATGCCAGATGAATATTTCCATTCGTTGCGTCTGAGACAAGCAGGAGGGTGAAACATTACTGAATTTAATTCCATCCTTTGCTACCCCTGGCAAATTCTCAGATTTCATTTTGGATTCTGCAGGAATTCCTGGAGGCAGGTCTGCTTTTTTTCTCACAATGGATTTGAGGTCACAATGCTGTAAAGCTTGGTGGGTCCTTGGTGTCGTGGTGGCCCAGGAGACGGTGACAAAAGCAGGGTGGGGTGGTGGAAAGGGCTATGTAAGGACAGCAGATGCTCAATTGACCGGTTAGACTTTAACCAGATGGTGGGAACTGTTAGTACACACCCGGGAGGAGATGAAAGGACACCGTTGCATTTGAAGCCACTGCAAATTTAAGGCTTTTCGGTGTGACATCTTTCTTTCCAACAGAAGTCGTATCTGGGTGATCGAGATGTTGGAAAAATTAGTCAACGCGGTGACGATCCGGAACGAAACGGTCCGACAGGGCTTGGCGGAAGCTCTGGGGACCTTCCTCTTGATGGTGAGAAGACGTGGGATGTGTCAGGGAGAAGGAGAATGTGTTAGGACAGGGGTTCTCAACCGTGACAACTTGAAGATGGGTGGACTTCAACTCCCAGAATTCCCCCCCCCAGCCAGCAACGCAAGTCCACCCATCTTCAAGTTGGTGAGTTTGAGAAACAAAACTAAGTTAGAAGATGGTGTGCGTGGGTGGGTGGGTAAGGATGGAAATATTGGAAGCATGCCTTTTCTTGGCTTATGGAATTTTTGGTGAAAGAAAAAGAAAAATGAAATTTTTACTAGTGGGTTTGAAGATTAGAAAGTATTGCTTATGGAAGTTACGATGTAACTTTAGCGAGAATAGCAAAATACTCTATAAATATATCCATAACCACTCTCAAGGTAGGAATTTTTTTATAATTTTTCTTCTTTCTTTCTTTCTTTCTTTCTTTCTTTCTTTCTTTCTTTCTTTCTTTCCTTCCTTTCTTTCTTTCTTTCTTTCTTCTTTCTTTCTCTTCCATCCTCCCTTTCTTCCTCCCTTCTTCTTTTCCTTCCTTCCTTCCTTCCTTCCTTCCTTCCTTCCTTCCTTCCTCCCTCCCTTCCTTCCTTCCTTCCTTCCTTCCTTCTCTCTCCCTCCCTTTCTTTCTTTCTTTCTTTCTTTCTCTTTCTCCCTTTCTTCCCTTCCTCCCTTCTTTTCCTTCTTTCTTTCTTTCTTTCTTTCTTTCTTTCTCCCTACTTCCATCCTTCCTTCCTTCCTTCCTCCCTCTTTCTTTTCCTTCCTTCCTTCCTTCCTTCCTTCCTTCCTTCCTTCCTTCCTTCCTTCCTTCCTTCCTTCCTTCCTTCCTTCTTTCTTTCTTTCTTTCTTTCTTTCTTTCTTTCTTTCTTTCTCTTTCTTTCTCCCTTCCTTCCTTCCTTCCTTCCTTCCTCTCTCCCTCTTTTCCTTCCTTCCTTCCTTCCTTCCTTCCTTCCTTCCTTCCTTCCTTCCTTCCTTTCTTTCTTTCTTTCTTTCTTTCCCTTTTCTATTTCTTTTCTTTTACCATTTACTATTTTTCTTTATTGTCTATATTTGCTCTTCTGGTTTTTATTTTGTTTAAAAAACGGTCAACACAAATGGTAAGGAACCAGAACAAAAGCCAGGTTTGGCTCGAGCAACCTCTGACCGAGAGACCTTCAACAACCTCAGAGTCACGTCTGCTTGGACTCAGATGTGCAAAAGACCAAACAGAAATTTTTTTTTCAGTCCTCCAAAATAAATGTGAGCGAAGGACTATATCCCCAGCCAAACAGGTGAGAGAATATTTAGGTCATAATAAAAACAAAACGTTACGGACTTTGCAAGCTGAGAAAGCCAACAAATGCAAATATATTGAGAGAGTTACACCATTTTTTTTTCCCATCATGGAATTTTAGACAGAATTAGATTATTGGCCAATGTGTTTCAAGGCTCTCTCTCTTCAAAGGGCCATGGCCTTCCAGGTTCCCAAGGGAATTTAGGATTTTCGGCATGCAAAACATGATCTGATCCTGATGTTTGAGCTCTGTCCAGGACATTTTCCTGGGAATATCAGGAAATTGTTTTCCTTCCTCTTTGTAAACTTATCCTGTTATCCTGCTTTTCTAGCTTTTCTTTCTTCTTGGACTAGCTTCTCCCAGAATTTCCCAGCTAGCATGGGGATTGGAGTCCACAAGTCTTAAAGTTGCCAGGTTTGGAGACCCGCCCTGCCCTATTTAAAATTGCAGAGTTTCTCTTTTTCTTCTGACAGAGTTTTGGCCTTGGCTCCGTGGCACAAGTCGAGTTGGGAAAGAAAAGTTTTGGAGACTACCTGAGCATCAACCTTGGGTTTGGGTTTGGTGTCATGTTGGGAGTCCATGCAGCTGGTGGAATCTCAGGTGAGTCTAGAAGGTGAGGGAGGGGGGGGTCTGATGAGTAAACTGGGCAACTGATGATGTTATCTAGATTGGAGATGAAATGTCTGCAAGGTCAGAGAGCACCAAGGACTTTATAGTCGTCGTCGTCGTCGTCGTCGTCCTCCTCCTCCTCCTCCTCCTCCTCCTCCTCCTTCTCCTCCTCCTCCTCCTCCTCCTCCTCCTCCTCCCCCTTCTAGCAGCAATGATAGAATAGAATAACAGAGTTGGAAGGGATCTTGAAGGTCTTCTAGTCCAATCCCCTGCTTAGGCAGGAAACCCTATACCAGTGATGGCGAACCTTTTAGAGACTGAGTGCCCCAAAACCACCCCGCGTCCCCCTCAACCCCCCCAGCCCCCCGCAGGGCCACCGCCTCCACTGCCCACCACAGATCGCCCAGGCAGCCCAGCAGCGCCATGGCAGCCACACCCTCTGCCTGCACCCTGCAGCATCAACTGAGCACGACAGGGTGCGAGGGCAGAGTCTTGTCCCTGCTTCCTGGCTGCCATGTCCTTGGCTGTGCTGCTCCATGCGGGCCACGCCCGGGGGCGATTCTCCTCTGGAGGTGCTGCTGTTGAGGAGGGGGCTATGGGGGGAGGCGGGGCTGGGGCAATGGCGCATGTGCCCACAGAGGGGGCTCTGAGTGCCGCCTCTGGCACACGTGCCATAGGTTTGCCACCACTACTCTATACTATTTCTGACAAATGGTTTTCTAATCTCTTCTTAAAAACTTCAAGTGTTGGAGCATTCACCACTTCTGGAGGCAGGTTGTTCCACTGGATAATTGTTCTAACCGTCAGGAAGTTTCTCCTTAGTTCTAGGTTGTCTCTCCTTAATGAGTTTCCATCCGTTGCTTCTTGTCCTGCCTTCAGGCGCTTTGGAGAATAGCTTGACTCCCTCTTCTTTGTGGCAATTCCCGAGATATTGGAACACTGATATTGATACTACCTAGTGGGTCATGAATCATCTGCATGAAAACCACCAAGCTCAGAGAGCACCAAGGACCCTATAGTTGTCGTTGTCCTCAACCTACTTGTCCTCCTCCTCCCTCCAAACCCCTCTCCCTTCTAGTAATGATGATGCTACCTAGTTGGGTCATGAAACATCTGCATGAAAACCACCAAGCTCAGAGAGCACCAAGGACTCGACAGTTCAACCCTGAACTGCAAATATTTTCTTTTATAGTGTCCTTCACAACCCATCTTGAAACTACAACTCCCAGAGTTCTCAAGCCACGAGGCTCGGTGTTTCTCAACCTTGACAAGTTCTTGGACACTGGCTGATGTATCCTGGGAAGTGAAGTCCACCCATTTTCAAGTTGTCAAGGCTAAGGAACACTCTTCTAGATAGTGCAAAGTTTTTCCTTCACCTGTTGTTAAAAAAAGACCTTTGGCGATCTCCACTGCGCCCAGACGACATGATAGAAGGTGGATCCTTTTGCTGAATCCTTTTCCTACCACTTTCCCTAACGTGGGTTTCAACATAAGCTGAGATATCATGTCTATGGAGGTTCTTAGTCATCCAGGTCATGGTTGTTCCAGGAGTGCTTTTTCACGAGGCAACTGGACTTTCTTGTTTTTCTTTGAAGATGTTTTGCTTCTCATCCAAGAAGCTTCTTCAGCTCTGACTGGATGGTGGGGAATGGAAGGATTTATACTCCTTGCAGACAGCTGGTCATTTGCTCTTTTAGAGAGTCGTTGAGGCCACTTGGAGGTTTATCTGTGTCCTCAGGGTCACCTGAGAAGTGGAAATGGGTATGGAGCCTTCTTGGCTGCAGTATGTTTTATGTCCTTTCACACCCATTTACATTAAACAGGTGACCTTGAGGACACAGATAAACCTCCAGGTGGCCTCAACGACTCTCTAAAAGAATGCAAATGACCAGTGGTCTGCAAGGAGTGTAAATCCTTCCATTCCCCACCAAATGGGTGTGAAAGCACCCAGGGCAGAAAACATCCTGCAACCAAGAAGGCTCCACACCCATTTCCACTTCTCAGGTGACTCTGAGGACACAGATAAACCTCCATGTGGCCTCAACAACTCTCTAAAAGAATGCAAATGACCAGCGGTCTGCAAGGAGCATAAATCCTTCCATTCCCCACCATCCAGTCGGAGCTGAAGAAGCTTCTTGGATGAGAAGTGAAGCATCTTCAAAGGAAAACAAGAAAGTCCAGTTGCCTCGTGAAAAAGCACCCTTGGAACTGAGATTTCCTGACATTTTATTGCGTAATGATGTGGATGGTGGCTAGTTCTATTAAACCAGCAGGTTGCTGTTCCTCTTCCTGCTACTGTCCTAATAGTTCTTCTCCTGTTGTCTTGTCGCCACCAGGTGCTCACATGAACGCGTCCATCAGTTTCGCCAACTGTGTGGTAGGAAATCTACTCTGGCGCAAACTCCCGGCATACGTGATTGGCCAGTTCTTTGGATCCTTCGCCGCGTCGGCTGTTATTTTTGCTTTATATTATGGTATGTGTAAATCCTCCTTTGTTCTCAGGAGGGGAAAAAAACAATTACAGGGAGTCCTCGGCTTACGACCGCAATCGAGATCAACATTTCTGTTGCTAAGAGAGACACTTGTGAAGTGAGTTTTGCCCCGTTTTATGACCATTCTTGCCGCAGTTGTTAAGCGAATCATGGCAGATGCTGAGATAGTCACACGGTTATTAAATGAATCTGGCTTCCCCATTGGCTTTGTGTGTCCAAAGGTCGCAAAAGGGGATCAGTCACTAAATGTACTGTTGTAAGTTGAGGTCTATCTAGACTCTCTTTATCTCAGGGGTATCCAACCTCGGCAACTTTTAAGACTTGTGGACTTCAACTCCCAGAATTCCCCAGCCAGCCATGTTGGGAGTTGAAGTCCACAAGTGTTAAAAGTTGCCAAGGTTGGACACCCTTCCCTTATCGGAAAAAGGTCTACATTTCTGTGCTGGGAGCGAGGAAGAGGAGGCCATCCCGTAAGGATACATCTCTGAGTACAGATGTGCAGCTTTCTCTTCGTTTTACGAACCAGCTGCAGTCTAATTCTATAATGCCATCTTGCGTTTAATGATTGGGGAGCCTCCTTTGTGATGACGTTACTTAGTTGGGTCATAAAACATCTGCAAGAAAACAACCAAGCTCAGAGAGCATCAAGGACCCCACAGTCTTCTTTCTCCTTCTCTTCCTCCTCCTTCTCCTCCTCCTCCTCCTCCTCCTCACACACACACCTCCTTCCTAACACTGATGAAGTTACCTAGTTGGGTAATGAAACATCTGCAAGAAAACAAGCAAGCTCAGAGAGCACCAAGGACCCC